GATCATTGGTGCTAATACTAAGTGGAATTCTTTCATGATTTTAAAATCTCGGATTTCTTTGATTTACAATAACTATCCACGATGACCTTGCTTCGTGCAAGCTCGGCGTTCGATCCCCCGATGTTGCCATTGATTGGGCATCATTCCTTCACTCGGGCCCCCACGGCCCACCTCCTTGCTCAAATATCCGCTTCCAAATGTAATATACCCACACTCATATGCAGTCACAATAACGTGGCTAAATGATGTTGACCAGACCACACACTAGAAGGTGAAGGGACGACGACGTTGCGGTCCGTCCTGGACCATTCTCAAGTCGATTGGACCCACACTCTTTCTTCACGTGTTTGTCTTACCTTATAATCATTTATGTAATTGAATTAATAGCTTTCATTTATAAGAACAAAGTTAGAGTTAAAGATATCATGTGAACCCACTCAGTAAACTGGTTAGTATTCCTGAAGATGAATTAACTCATTGGATATTTATTTTGAGTTGTTCAACTGTCGTTCTTCAGTTCTTTGAAGAACATGTCGTGTTTAAAGATATAATAATAATAATAATAATAATAATATAGTAATAATAATAATAATAATAATAATATAGTAATAATAATAATAATAATAATAATATAGTAATAATAATAATAATAACAGTAATTATATTAATAATGTTTTATTCATATAATATACAATACATTGAATATAGTATAGTGGTTACAGAGTCGGTAAAATAATTTGTTGTAGAATTTTCTTCTTCATAAAGTTTTGGTAATAACCTGTTCGGGTATAAGAAACTTATTTCGCACTTCAAATCTTTCTGTGTAAAGAAAATCTTTCTGTGTAAAGAAAATCTTTCTGTGTAAAGAAAATCTTTCTGTGTAAAGAAAATCTTTCTGTGTAAAGAAAATCTTTCTGTGTAAAGAAAATCTTTCTGTGTAAAGAAAATCTTTCTGTGTAAAGAAAATCTTTCTGTGTAAAGAAAATCTTTCTGTGTAAAGAAAATCTTTCTGTGTAAAGAAAATCTTTCTGTGTAAAGAAAATCTTTCTGTGTAAAGAAAATCTTTCTGTGTAAAGAAAATCTTTCTGTGTAAAGAAAATCTTTCTGTGTAAAGAAAATCTTTCTGTGTAAAGAAAATCTTTCTGTGTAAAGAAAATCTTTCTGTGTAAAGAAAATCTTTCTGTGTAAAGAAAACCTTTCTGTGTAAAGAAAATCTTTCTGTGTAAAGCAAATATTGTCGGTAGAAAGTCCGAGGTAGGTAAGAGCTTTCTGCTATTCAGTAAACTATGTCACGAAGGGGAATAACACGTAGCATTTATGGTGACAACATTTAGTAACGAACATAATTTCCCGTCATCCATTTATATTTCCATTTGCAACTTTGCTACTTGTATTTCAACTTGTCCGAGGGTGTCAATGTGTCCTGGCAGCCTCAACACGGAGCGTCGTTAACCACACACTAATTGTTGGTCGTGTCCTACTGTGATTCCTTATGTTGTGGGCATGAGGTTATCTCTCTCTCTCTCTCTCTCTCTCTCTCTCTCTCTCTCTCTCTCTCTCTCTCTCTCTCTCTCTCTCTCTCTCTCTCTCTCTCTCTCTCTCTCTCGTCTTCTTCTCTCTCCTCTCTCTCTCTCTCTCTCTCTCTCTCTCTCTCTCTCTCTCTCTCTCTCTCTCTCTCTCTCTCACTTTCTCCCTCTCGTGTATATATATATATATAATAATAATATATATTCACATCTTGAACGCATTTACACCATTGCTCAATATTGGAGAACATATTGGAAATATTTTTCGCCACAATATCGGTATGAAATCCAGTATGAAATAGAAGCAAATATGATTCAGAATGAGCACAGGGAAGAGGGTGTGTGGGGGGGGGGTGGATGGATGATCAGAGTGAATGTATTCAACTAACATTATCGGCTGCTGTGCACCCCCTCCCCCCCCCCCCTTCTGCCTCACTCTGTAAATTGCTGTCAGTTTTGTTCCATTGGTGAAAAGGGTTAAATTGGCAGAGCCCGGAGCTGATGTTGGTTCAGGCCTGAGCGCCGACCTTGTGTCAACAAACTCTTGTTTTCTGGCTTAATAACTCTTGTTGATGCTTCAATTCTTCCCAGTTGGATGCTGGAGTTGTTAGCTGGATGCTGGAGTTGTTAGTTGGATGCTGGAGTTGTTAGCTGGATGCTGGAGTTGTTAGTTGGATGCTGGAGTTGTTAGCTGGATGCTGGAGTTGTTAGTTGGATGCTGGAGTTGTTAGTTGGATGTTGGTGTTGTTAGTTGGATGCTGGAGTTGTTAGTTGGATGTTGGAGTTGTTAGTTGGATGCTGGAATTGTTAGTTGGATGTTGGAGTTGTTAGTTGGATGCTGGAATTGTTAGTTGGATGTTGGAGTTGTTAGTTGGATGCTGGAGTTGTTAGTTGGATGCTGGTGTTGTTAGTTGGATGCTGGTGTTGTTAGTTGGATGCTGGTGTTGTTAGTTGGATGCTGGAGTTGTTAGTTGGATGCTGGAGTTGTTAGTTGGATGCTGGTGTTGTTAGTTGGATGCTGGAGTTGTTAGTTGGATGCTGGAGTTGTTAGTTGGGTGCTGGAGTTGTTAGTTGGATGCTGGTGTTGTTAGTTGGATGCTGGTGTTGTTAGCTGGATGCTGGCGTTGTTAGTTGGATGTTGGAGTTGTTAGTTGGATGCTGGAGTTGTTAGTTGGATGTTGGAGTTGTTAGTTGGATGCTGGAGTTGTTAGTTGGATGCTGGTGTTGTTAGTTGGATGCTGGTGTTGTTAGCTGGATGCTGGAGTTGTTAGTTGGATGTTGGATGCTGGTGTTGTTAGTTGGATGCTGGTGTTGTTAGTTGGATGTTGGAGTTGTTAGTTGGATGCTGGTGTTGTTAGTTGGATGCTGGAGTTGTTAGTTGGATGCTGGTGTTGTTAGTTGGATGCTGGTGTTGTTAGTTGGATGCTGGTGTTGTTAGTTGGATGCTGGAGTTGTTAGTTGGATGCTGGTGTTGTTAGTTGGATGCTGGAGTTGTTAGTTGGATGCTGGTGTTGTTAGTTGGATGCTGGAGTTGTTAGTTGGATGCTGGAGTTGTTAGTTGGATGCTGGTGTTGTTAGTTGGATGCTGGAGTTGTTAGTTGGATGCTGGTGTTGTTAGTTGGATGCTACTGATCCAGCATGACACTACTGTCTTCATATGACACTGTAACTGATTCAGTATAACAGCTGGCTCCTCCTTCTCCTCCAGCTGGCTCCTCCAGCTGGCTCCTCCTCCAGCTGGCTCCTCCTCCAGCTGGCGACGGTCTTACGAAGAGAGATATGTCCGTTGTACCGGGGTCACGGATGCAGGCTAACAGTATTATAGCAGCCGCTACAGCAGGAAGATACCTCCCCCCCCCCATGTAATATGCTCCTGTAACCTATGAAATAAGCTTTTGTAACCCCTCTATAATAAGTTGTAACTCGTGTAATTACGAAAATAAGACTGTGTAATCCGTGAAATAAGCTGAAATTTGTGTAATAAGCCCCCATATCCCGTGTAATGGGCCCCTGTAACACGTGTAATAAGCTGAAATCTGTGTAATAAGCCCCCCATATCCCGTGTAATAGGCCCCTTGTAACCCGTGTAATAAGCTGAAATCTGTGTAATAAGCCCCCCATATCCCGTGTAATAGGCCCCTGTGACACGTGTAATAAGCTGTAACCCATGTAATACGCCCGTGTAACCCCCATTTTAGAAAAGCATTTCCGTTACCAAGCAATAAATGTGCCCAAACACTTCTGCGTTGATTCATATTTGATGTTCGAGAGAATGGGTCGTCTGAGGTCGGAGTCTGGGCCTCTCAGTGTCCTCGTCCATCTGACCAGGAACATCCTGATACTAACATGAAACTTGGGTAACTGAAGGTAAGCGTTGCATAAGGCTTGAAGCATATTATTTACCCGAGTAAACATTATAGGTTCCGTGAATATATAATATGTTGCACATCAGAGTTGCAAACAACAAATTACGAAAAGTCTGTCTCGTTCATTGAAAATCTTTGGTACATATTATCGTATACAGCGTGTGTGTGTGTGTGTGTGTGTGTGTGTGTATATATATATATATGTCGTACCTAGTAGCCAGAACGCACTTCTCTGCCTACTATGCAAGGCCCAATTTGCCTAATAAGCCAAGTTTTCATGAATTAATGTTTTTTCGACTACCTAACCTACCTAACCTAACCTAACCTAACTTTTTTTGGCTACCTAACCTAACCTTACCTATAAAGATACGTTAGGTTAGGTTAGGTAGGGTTGGTTAGGTTCGGTCATATATCTACGTTAATTTTAACTCCAATAAAAAAAATTGACCTCATACATAATGAAATGGGTAGCTTTATCATTTCATAAGAAAAAAATTAGAGAAAATATATTAATTCAGGAAAACTTGGCTTATTAGGCAAATCGGGCCTTGCATAGTAGACTGAGAAGTGCGTTCTGGCTACTAGGTACGACATATATATATATATATATATATATATATATATATATATATATATATATATATATATATATATATATATATATATATGTGTGTGTGTGTGTGTGTAATTTATAATGTGAGGGGTATAGAATACAGATAATTCTTAGGGCCTTTGTCCCAGCTGTGTCTGGGTACAAGTGACAGGATGAACAACCCAGCGGGTTTTCTTCCTATTGGGGAGTGTTGTACATGCTGCTATGGCGGTATGTCCACCCACAAGATGAGTGGCGCTGCCCAATAAACTCGCCCCTCGGGGCAAAATTTAAAAAAAAATAACTTAGGGACCTTCATACAATTATGACTATCGCTGATAGAGTATACTATTGGGCTGTTAGTAAATGACGGCCTGGGTTCGAATCCTGGAGGAAGCATTAATGTCTTATTGAAAAAAAACTGACGCAAAAGAAATCCCTCAAATGCGGTGGAATTCACACATAAAATCCATAACATCACCAAATATTGATATCGCAGGCTAAGAAAACGACTCCTCGTCGAAATATATATATAGTTTATTTCACAGAGAGTTGGGGAAACACCTACAAAAATATAAGGCACACTACACTGGTGATGAGAGCGGGTCTTGAAGCAGGGCGGGCTGGCTGTGGGTACGGAAGCAGGGAGTTAGTATTGCTCAGATGGCGCCTGCAGTCACTGGAAATTTTTTGGTGAATAAGGATTCATTGTGTGTACACTGTTCCTTTGTGTAATTTACTCACTGTAGCCATGTGTGTGTGTGTGTGTGTGTGTGTGTGTACTCACCTAATTGTACTCACCTAATTGTGCTTGCGGGGGTTGAGCTCTGGCTCTTTGGTCCCGCCTCTCAACCGTCAATCAACTGGTGTACAGATTCCTGAGCCTATTGGGCTCTATCATATCTACATTTGAAACTGTGAATGGAGTCAGCCTCCACCACATCACTTCCTAATGCATTCCATTTGCTAACTACTCTGACACTGAAAAAGTTCTTTCTAACGTCTCTGTGGCTCATTTGGGTACTCAGCTTCCACCTGTGTCCCCTTGTTCGCGTCCCACCAGTGTTGAAAAGTTCATCCTTGTTTACCCGGTCGATTCCCCTGAGGATTTTGTAGGTTGTGATCATGTCCCCCCTTACTCTTCTGTCTTCCAGTGTCGTGAGGTGCATTTCCCGCAGCCTTTCCTCATAACTCATGCCTCTTAGTTCTGGGACTAGTCTAGTAGCATACCTTTGGACTTTTTCCAGCTTCGTCTTGTGCTTGACAAGGTACGGGCTCCATGCTGGGGCCGCATACTCCAGGATTGGTCTTACATATGTGGTGTACAAGATTCTGAATGATTCCTTACACAGGTTCCTGAACGCCGTTCTGATGTTAGCCAGCCTCGCATATGCCGCAGACGTTATTCTCTTTATGTGGGCTTCAGGAGACAGGTTTGGTGTGATATCAACTCCTAGATCTTTCTCTCTGTCTGTTTCATTAAGTACTTTATCTCCTATTCTGTATCCTGTGCCTGGCCTCCTGTTTCCACTGCCTAGTTTCATTACTTTGCATTTACTCGGGTTGAACTTCAACAGCCATTTGTTGGACCATTCACTCAGTCTATCCAGGTCCTCACAGGTGTGTGTGTGTGTGTGTGTGTGTGTGTGTGTGTGTGTGTGTGCGTGTGTGTGTGTGTGTGTAATTACCTAAGTGTAGTTACAGGATGAGAGCTACGCTCGTGATGTCCCGTCTTCCCAGCACTCTTTGTCATATAACGCTTTGAAACTACTGACGGTCTTGGCCTCCACCACCTTCTCACTGTGTGTGTGTGTGTGTGTGTGTGTGTGTGTGTGTGTGTGTGTGTGTGTATGTGTGTGTGTGTGTGTGTGTGTGTGTGTGCGTGTGTGTGTCCAGTGTGAGTGTGCCATATGTGCACTGTTGCCTTCTTTATGTGTGAGCATACATGTTTCATGTGTATATCTTTCATGTGTACATCTTTCGTGTGTTGACGTTTTCTATTTGTCTGTACCTTGTGTGCGTGTCAGTCTTGTGTACACCTGGTAAGTATTCTACACATTTCTCATAAAATAATAAACTCACCAACCGGGAATCCTTATTTGTCTTCCACGTTAAAATAAATTCATCACTTTGCTAAAACCTTCAACTGTCATATTTTATACACAAAATTTCCTGTTCAATGTAAACTCGAATCAACATCTATTCATTGTATAAAATAATTAGACACACTTAACCATAAGATCATAAGAATAATGTAAAATGGTCTATTGGCCCATGGGAGACCGTTCCTATTTATAGACACACAAACTCATTTAAATATTTGTCTAATCTACGCTTGAAACAATCCTCTTTAAAATAATAGTTCAACGCCTATTAGCCGGTAATTTGGTCAATAAATCACCTGCCTATTTTCCAACCAGTATTTACCCAAGTCTTTCCTGAATCTAAACTTAAACCAATTTATATCAGAGTGGAGTGTCTCAATAGACAGCGCTGTCCTATTTGAAACAACTTTGCACCGTTGAGGCAGGAAGCGAGATCCTTAAAAACCTGTAAACTTCAAGAATAACCTAATCTTGACGCTAAGATCGTCGCAAACGGGGCGGGGAAAAAATACTGCGTCACTCTGAAAGTCCGGGGCTGCATAAATTGGCCATCACGGCCAAATTACTCTACCTTGCAAGTCCCAGGGCAAGGGTGGGTGTTTTGTCTTGATTTGTGGCCCCATACTCCTTGTGAGGACCTTAATCCTCCCGCCGTCAGCTGTTGCAGTGAGGAATTGTGTCCTAAAACTATGCTGGAATAACGTTTTATCTGAGTTAATAACGCTGATCTAATGCTGACGATGAGACACAGTAACGTGGCTGAATATATGATGATCAAACCACATACCAGAAGCAGGCGATGAGTCACAATAACGTGGCTGAAGTATGTTGACCAGACCACACACTAGAAGTTGAAGGGACGACGACGTTTCGGTCCGTCCTGGACCATTCTCAATCACAATCGACTTGAGAATGGTCCAGGACGGACCGAAACGTCGTCGTCCCTTCAACTTCTAGTGTGTGGTCTGGTCAACACATACCAAATGATGTGGGGAGGACGACGTTTCGGTCCCATTATCAAGGACGATTGTGAATGAGGAGACGACGAAATGTCGTCTCCTCAGCTTCTGGAGTGTGGTTTAGTTCTTATATACAGACCATAGGTTCTTTGCCTCACTTGCAAGATGGCGACCCATCATCCAGCCCAAGGTATATGTTAAATGTTGACTTACGTAGATGTAATTATCATTTGAATTATAATTTGTGAATTCGAGGGCCTTTTGTTTGTACGGGCTGCAAGAGTGACGACACACTCTAAGCTGAAGAGTAATCCAGACGACCGAACACCAGCTGGTGCGCCGCTATGAAGCATTATCAGTGTACTAAACCGGTCAGTGTTCGTTTATCTGGCCAACAACCTTGGCTTCGACCTCCCAAAGGGGGGGCCGGGGGAATTATGACTCGTGGCTTTATTTAATTCAGAGTTGAAACACGTATGGACGCCGTTAAAAGTGACTTGAAAGCGTACGTCTTTCAAGAAAACGGAATATATTTGTAAACTTGGAAAGACAATGAAAAATACAAATTAATTTGGAAATATTTTCAATTTCTTATTTCTTTTTTGTAGAAAACAGTATAAAAATATTAATTTTTTCGTATTATACTGCCAGTATAATATATATATATATATATATATATATATATATATATATATATATATATATATATATATATATATATATATATATATACAGGACGGTAGACCGACGGTCTCACTTAACGCAGGTCGGCGTTCAATCCCCGACCGTCCAAGTGATTTGGCAACCGTTCCTACCCCAATCCCATCCCCGAATCCTTATCCTAACCCCTCCCCAGTGCTATACAAGTCGCAATGGCTTGGCGCGTGATAATTCCCCTTCCTTCAGCAGCTAAGCCGGGAGAGGAGTTTACCTTTAGGGATGGGATGGGGAGCTTGGAGGAGTAGTAGAAGGAGGAGGAATAGCTCACCTGTGGGACGGGGTGCAGGGAGGGGTACACCAAGCCGGACACCGTCAACGCCATCTGGAAACACATACACTAAGCAGGTGAGGAATGCAGCATTATGAGGCTGGGCGTCATCAGCTGAGTGGTGAGGTCACACTAACCTGACATTAATCACCGTGACCAATTAGCTGAAACAATGCTGCCGGATTGGTATTATCTATGTGGTGAAGGGTGTAGTTAGAGGGATACACGTGTGTGTTTGTGTGTGTGTGTGTGTGTGTGTGTGTGTGTGTGTGTGTGTGTGTGTGTGTGTGTGTGTGCGCGTGTGTGTTTTGCATAAAACAGACACACACACAGGGGAAATCGCGGGTGAGTGGACAGCGCTCGGAAGTCGTAATCCTAAGGACCCCGGTTCGATTTCCCGCCGAGGCGGAAATAACTAGGCAGAGTTTCCTTTCACCCCAATGCCCCTGTTCACCTATCAGTAAATAGATACCTGGGAGTTAGAGAGCTGCTACGAGCTGCTTCCTGGGGATGTGTGTGCGTGTGTTCAAGAGAAATATATGTAGTGGATATAATAGAGGAAATATAAATGGTTAGAAAGGCGGGGTCCAAGAGCTAATACCTCGATTCTGCAGACACAAATAGTAAATACAAATTGTAAATACACGAAGCAGCGAAAGAGTACATGTTGAAGCTTGGAGATGAATACGCACACGCGCGCGCATGCACGTTATTCTTTGGTAAAGAAGTCTTCAGACTGCTCAATGCAACCTACGTGACAAGTATCCTCGAATATGCAGCCCCGAATATGCAGCCCCTTGGGGAGCCGGTCGGCCGAGCGGACAGCACCCTGGACTTGTGATCCTGCGGTCCCGGGTTCGATCCCAGGCGCCGGCGAGAAACAATGGGCAGAGTTTCTTTCACCCTATGCCCCTGTTACCTAGCAGTAAAATAGGTACCTGGGTGTTAGTCAGCTGTCACGGGCTGCTTCCTGGGGGTGGAGGCCTGGTCGAGGACCGGGCCGCGGGGACACTAAAAGCCCCGAAATCATATCAAGATAACCTCAAGAAGTACAAAGCGAAGTTATAAAATGATCAGAGACATGCAGTAAGATATTTCTGGGGTGAGGAAACCGAACCTCACTACACTACATGAAAGAAAAAGCATTTGGGACATGATAACGACATGTAAAATCCCGAGGATGATCGACAAGGTCAACAAAGATTAAACTTTCACGTGAGAAATTGACCAACTTCAGTGTACGAATAATCAAATGGATCCAGCTTGCCGAGAAGACCACCGATTACATTACAGCCGGAGCTCAGGAGCTAGAACCTAAGCGTTATAAGTCCCTCTTAGTAGAGCCTGTCCTCTTGACTTGCCACTCCCTAAAAATAATCAAAGAAAACCTAACCCATCAAAGAAAACTAATATAATTGTGAGCCCTAACTTCTCTTAATAGATTACACTTGTAACTAACGCTACAAAACGTAAACAAAACACGCGACCTAGTACTTGAAAGGACGGGTTGTTGGGTGTGGTTGTATGTAAACAGCTGAGAAGAGGAGACTAGATAAACAGCCGTTTTAGAAATCAGTTTTTACAAGTTTTTTACAAGTTTTACAAGTCCTGAAGGATAGGATTTCAGTTGTGGGGAAGAGTCCCGTCTTAATCTTCCCACACTAGCCACAAGGCTTCTCCTCCTGCTTCCAGCTACGCCACTACAAGCAAACAAAAATCAATAAACAGGAACATTTGTAAAAATAACACAAAAATAATAATACTTTCCACAATCAACAAAATTAAACAAATATATATTCACTGCAGACTGACTTATGAGAATGTAGAGGTTAATTTTTTCTCGTTGAAAAAGTCAAGAGGTGTTCTCTTAGTGAAAAGTTCAAGAGGTGCTCTGTTGGTAAGAAGGTCAAGAGGTACTCTCTTAGTGAGGTCAAGAGGTGTTCTCTTAGTGAGAAGATCAAGAGGTGTTCTCGTCAAAAGCCAAAGTAGCTAAACACATATATTCACTCAATTATTTCTAGCACTAAGTTGGTCCTCTTTTGAACTTTAGCAGGAGCTTGCCAGAGGTACACAAGCAGAAGATTTCTGGCTTCTCAGTGTTATCTAAGAGCTCTCCCTCCCACAGCTGTGTTTGCACGCTAAGAGCTCTCCCTCCCACAGCTGTGTTTGCACGCTAAGAGCTCTCACTCTTACAGCTGTGTTTGCAGGCTAAGAGCTCTCCCTCCCACAGCTGTGTTTGCACGCTAAGAGCTCTCCCTCCCACAGCTGTGTTTGCACGCTAAGAGCTCTCACTCTTACAGCTGTGTTTGCACGCTAAGAGCTCTCCCTCCCACAGCTGTGTTTGCACGCTAAGAGCTCTCCCTCCCACAGCTGTGTTTGCACGCTAAGAGCTCTCCCTTTCACAGCTGTGTTTACACGCTAAGAGCTCTAAGCTGCGGGCTCTAAGCTAAGAGCTCTAAGCTGCGGGCTCTAAGCTAAGAGCTCTAAGCTGCGGACTCTAAGCTAAGAGCCCTCGGTCACACCCGCCTCTGCAGTGCCCACTGAATAATAATAATAATAATGCTATATAACCACTTGCCTTACTCTCCACAAGTTGAGTGACCTGTGGGTGACCTGACTCACCTGGGTGACTCACGGGGTCCAAGCGGGCGGGGGTGGGGGCCTGAGCCAGGTAGCCAGCAGGGTGGCCACCCACACCACGCCCACACCCGCCCGCAGCGCCCCCACCCCACTCTGCACCGCCGCCGCCGACTCCTCGCCAGCTGGTGGGTCAAAAAGATGGTCGAGGTTAGATACACACCTACATGTACCTGGTTAGCTACATAACAACATCCGTCCGTGTTTGTCCTAAGCTGTAGACCAGACGCTAGGGGCTAGCCTGACCAAACTTTGCACGGGGACACGTCTGGTGTACGGGACGGACATAGGCTGACCGGGGTAGGCCTAGGTTGAATGCAGTAAGATATATTAACAATTATAGACACCCCGCCAGGCGATTTTCATGGTCAACTGTGATGTATACATGTGATTTCCCGAAGAATTTGCAGTGACTGTGATAATATATTTTCAGATATACCCATACGAACATATATATATATATATATATATATATATATATATATATATATATATATATATATATATATATATATATATATATATATATATATTGTGTGTGTTCACATATGGATAATTCATACATAATGTGGTTTGTCCCTCGATAGGTTTTGCTGATACATACACAGCTCATACAAACATGTAGTTAATTCATACGTGTAGCTAGTTATTTGATTTGTATCTGTCTGGCTAATGTATTTGTATAATTGGTGGTTTGAACCTAATTGTGTGTGATTCATACATACGTATTGTGGAGTAATACTAAATTAATTTATTCAAAATATTGGATATTTTTTTAACATACATTCGATTTTGTAATTAAAAATTCAAATGAATTATTTTGCCTTACAAACATTATAATTTTTACAAACATGCATACACGCGCCTGCGTGCACACACACACACACACTCACAGACACACACGCACACAACTTCCCCGCAAAAACACAACTAGTAAGCACACACACTCACACACGCACACAGACACACACCAGTTGATTGACAGTTGAGAGGCGGGACCAAATAGCCAAAGCTCAACCCCCGCAAGCACAAATAGGTGAGTACACGCACACACACAGACACACGCACGCATGCACGCACGGGCACGAACATATAGCATGAAGGAATTTTTGCATGACTATAAATAATGTGTAATACAATATGCCAGGCACCAATGTCCTGACACGAGCATGACCTGAGGGGCTTTTGACCTGACCTACCACTGTGCCACCTATGTTATTCCACGTCAATTGTAAACAACCCGTAACAAAGTGTCGTTGACCCAATCCATTAAATATCTGGCACGTGAACTGCCTCGTCTTCACGTTCGAGTTAAATGACCTTTGACCTCAGAGGCACATAAATTATTGTAAGGAAAACTAACTGGAGGATGTTCAGTAGTTATTAAAATGCAGTGTTGATTTGATCAGTGTTAATTCCCGTAGTAGCGTGCAGGCTAGTAAGTAGCGTGCAGGCTAGTAAGTAGCGTGCAGGCTGTTTAGGTGATAGGGAGAAACAACACAATAGCACATACTAGCAGACACTGCCTGGGGCCTCGTAGCTAGTGGAGAGCGCTAGTGGGTCGAGGTCCCAAGGGGCCGGGTTCGATTCCCGTCCGAGGTAGAAACATATGTGTAGAGTTTCTTTCACCTTATGGCCCTCTTCACTTAGCGGTAAATAGCTACTTGTATCGCAACACAAGACCACCAAGCCTCACACCACTGGGGACCTCTATATCACCTCCCTGGCTTAGACTCACAAGTGTGACTTGTGATTCACACTTAGTGTGCGACTCTGCTAAGTCAGACTCTGACTTAGTGTGCAACCCCTCCCCCCCCCCTCCTCAAGGGATGGGGGTGGCACACTAGTGGGTACGTGACCTACACACAAGACAAATAATTCACATTATCACAGTGTTTACTCACAAACTGCTCCTGCACCCGGCACCACAATGCCCTCACTCGCCTCGCATTTTACTTAAATTATCATATTGGGACAAATTCACGAGGAGCTGTTAAGTGAATTGCTACAAACCACTAACATTTTTCTCAGTGAAGTGCCCCCTCAAGTATATTAAACTGCGGCTCCCCACTTCAAACAATATATATATATATATATATATATATATATATATATATATATATATATATATATATATATATATATATATATATATATGACAGTGTCAGACCACGGAGGAAAATTTAAACAGGAATTTCCTTAAGTACTTTCGTATATTAATACATCTTCAGAAGGAGTCCTGAAGACACTCCTTCTGAAGATGTATTAATATACGAAAGTACTTAAGGAAATTCCTGTTTCAATTTTCCTCCGTGGTCTGACACTGTCACATTTTTAATCACGTGTTTATTTTCGTGATATACACACATATATATATATATATATATATATATATATATATATATATATATATATATATATATATATATATATATATATATATATATATGTCTGATAAAGCGGAAATCTCCTGACATACAGATTCTCAGAAGCCGTAAAACTTTCACCAGTATTTTCACACATTGTGAGCACCGTCCTTCTTGCTTCAGTGTATTTGCTACAACGAAAACTTCGCGAGTTACGGCGCTTGGCTACAAGATGCGTGCGAAGACGTTTATGCAAAAATGCCAGAGACATGCTAATCTCCGGATGCAAGGAGTCGAGTCGTTCACCACGCTCCAGACACGGTCCCGGCACCACTCCATCAAGAACTTTGCTTATATCAAGACATCTTAAGAAGATTGTGAGGAGTAAGGACTGAGTAACACTAACTTGTAGACAAGAAGAGAGAGATGTACACATTTGCTGCGACGTCCTCTCACTCTCTGGCACGTCAAGATGCATCTTCCTCCACGAGATATAGCATCGAGACATCGTATACTATATCATATAAATGGGAAGGGTATACTTCTGGCTACTTCTGGCACCAGGGAAGGTCTGAAAAACAGGGGATAGGGTAGCTGCCACCATTCCTATCCTCCTTTTATGTTCACTGTTGTTCAGTGGTAGAATGTTTCTTTGGGGCATTTTGGCTAGTCGTTCGCCTCCTACGACACCCCCGAATATATGAAATACTTTTCCTCGCCATTCATTTAAAGTCACAGAACACTCTCTATCTGCAACCATAGTACACCCGCATCTATCTACATTCACACTACACCCACGCCATCCGACCCACACCCAAACCACCCGTATACTCACGATCTACATACACAGTACCACCCCCCTCCCCCCATCCTTTCCTATATATTCCCACCTACACCCACAGCACACTCACTTTCACCAGTCAACACCCACAGTAAACCCCACCCTCATTCCCCTACACCCAGTCTTACCCATCAACACTCACCATTAACAACGTGGACGATGACAGAGTCCGGCCGAGCGTACAAGGGAGCACAGGTGTAGTTGCCAGAGTCCGCCTTCACCGCCCGAGTGATGTACAGTTTGGACATGGTCTTTGTTGGGGTCTTCTCCACCTGGGGAGGGACGGGTGGGGTGGGTGTGGTGAGTATGAGGACAGCTGAGGTGTGGACGGGTGGGGTAGGTGTGGTGAGTATGAGGACAGCTGAGGTGTGGACGGGTGGGGTGGGTGTGGTGAGTATGAGGACAGCTGAGGTGTGGACGGGTGGGGGTGGGTGTGGTGAGTATGAGGACAGCTGAGGTGTGGACGGGTGGGGTAGGTGTGGTGAGTATGAGGACAGCTGAGGTGTGGACGGGTGAGGTGGGTGTAGTTAGTATGAGGACAGCTGAGGTGTGGACGGGTGGGGGTGGGTGTGGTGAGTATGAGGACAGCTGAGGTGTGGACGGGTGGGGTAGGTGTGGTGAGTATGAGGACAGCTGAGGTGTGGACGGGTGGGTGTGGGTGTGGTGAGTATGAGGACAGCTGAGGTGTGGACGGGTGGGTGTGGTGAGTATGAGGACAGCTGAGGTGTGGACGGGTGGGTGTGGTGAGTATGAGGACAGCTGAGGTGTGGACGGGTGGGGTGGGTGTGGTTAGTATGAGGGCAGCTGAGGTGTGGACGGGTGGGGTGGGTGTACTGAGAATGAGGACAGATGAGGTGTCATGTGTAACCAGAGCGTAAGTGTGACAAGACAAGATTTTATACCACTGGTATAAAATACGAAATATATCCACATACAAACCAGAAATACACAGAGCAAAATTAATTATCCTCACATGGGGTTAATTACCCCCATATGGGGTTAATTCAAGTGTGTTAATCACTCCCATACAGAAAAAGAGTAACATTAAAACATAATCCGTCTTCAGGGAAAAATAATCCCAGAATGGATGAAATATCAATCATTACACAAAAGGTGGGAATGGAGGCCCACGCAGCGATACAGACGAGTAGATGTGACTTACCTCCATGCTGATGCCGCCTCTAGGTGAGCTGTAGTTGAGAGTGGAGGCGCCCCGAAGCCAGCGAACGGGTCCCACTGCTTCGACACCGGCCAGCACCTCACAGTGGAGGCTGATGGTGGAGCCGTGTTGAATATACACCTCCCGCGGGCCTAAGATGTCCGCTTCCTGCACGGCTGTCGTGGGGGGGAAACTTGCTTCTGAACTGTGTTTCAATATAGTTGTTTTTGTGTTTTATGGTTCATGATTGCGATTGAATAGGGGGACTGAGAGGGGGGGAGGGTTGTTCACACGCACACTGAACGACCAGGTTGTGGGAGATAACTTCGTGTGTTCACAGTTAGATAAGTGCGTGTTATAGAGGAGATAATTTACGTCGGGAGTCATTGTTGTTGGATAGTCGGCCACTGGAAAGGTTGGGGGACCAAGGGAGAAATAAATTCGTAGTGCAGAAATAAATTTGTAGAAATAAATTAGTTGGTGTGTGTCTCACACACACACACACACACACACACACACACACACACACACACACACACACACACACACACACACACACACACACACACACACTCACCCAGCACGGTGAGGTGGATGGGCAGGGAGACCTTAGGGCTGGTGGAGACCTGACACTCGTACACACCAGCGTCCCTGAAGGTGACGGAGCTGATGTCCAGGTACCAGTCCTCGGCCTCTGGCGGGTGGAAGACCTGAAGCACACACCAACCTCTTGAGAACTGTGGCCCCTGGCACGCTCTTCAGGTCTTGAATGTTAAGTCATGTCAAGGAACACTGGATACTGTGAGGGGGTTGAGTGCTAAGTCATGTCAAGGGGGTTCAGTGCTAAGTCATGTCAAGGGGTTCAGTGCTAAGTCATGTCAAAGAACACTGGTTACTGTGAGGGGGTTGAGTGCTAAGTCATGTCAAGGGGGTTGGAGTGCTAAGTCATGTCAAGGGGTTGAGTGCTAAGTCATGTCAAGCAAGCCATTGGTGTCTGGATGATCTCTGATTAATTACTCAACAATTGCAAAGTAGATGGGTTCTCTAGAGACAAGGTGATGAACTAGACATGATTTGATAATCATCATTCATGGTAACAGAAAGATTAACTAGTGATATGTCTTTGCAACAGGGTGGGGATTGGAACCGAACCTGCGTACTAGATCTTCCCCCCAGACGCAGGTTCGATTCCACTGCCCTGCTCCATCTGTGGAGAAGATGTATCATGATATTAGGTATAGAGTGTGGGGGTACTGCCGTTCGATACCCCTGACACCATGCAGCGAGACACGAGTGGTACACGCTTACCTCTGAAACAAGTCAT